TCTGCCAGAAATCAGAAGAAAGCCAATCAGAATGGTTTCATTAGTCCCTGTTTAACAGACAGATGAGCTGCCAAGGGGAAGGTTCTTAAGGTAAAGGACCAGATGTAACCACCCTCCCTGCTGAATCACTTGACAGCCAGGCAGGGTGGTGTCCTTTTGTAGGGTTAGCCCAAGCCCCTTAAGCTGTTCCTGTTAGTTCTTGCACAAAAGCCCCTCTTTTTCCATCAGAAGGACTGAGCCACTGACACCAGGTGGAGATTGATTGCAAAGGTCCCCATGCCTCATCTAAGTTTCCTTAGAAGCTCTCTTGGCCAATCCAGTTCTGGTGACGGATGCAGTTGTCACAGGGCCTGTGGTAGTTGCCCTTTACAACAGAAGGTATCTGAGGCAGCAATGCAGAAAACAGTCTCCCAGCATTATTTGAAGAGTGGGGGGCAAGCTCCAAGGGTGCTGGACAGCTGGGCCAGGTCCCAAGGAAAGTCTCCAGAATTTGCTCAGCTTCAGCTGCCAGTTGTTTCCTCCCAGCCTTTGTTCTCTGCATTTACCTGCAAAGGGAAGCACATATCTTGTAATGGAAGAACAAGGCAGGTATGTGCTGAATACTTGGATGCTTACCTTTGCTTTGGCTAAAGATGTTATGTTCTCTTGCTTTTGTGGCAAGGCAGAGCCTCTTTGGCCTGTCCAGGGTGGTGCGGCTGCTGAAGCAGAAGCAAACGCTTCCTCCTTTTGCTGAGTCTTTTTTAGCTGACAAACCAGCTTATGGCTGGTTTGTCATGCTGCCTTGTCCTGGCCCAGTTTGGTAGGTGGTGTCTTGAGAAAGGGCAAGTAAGGAGTAAGGCAGTAAAAGCCCTGGGGCTGTAGCTGGGCTTCCTCACCCAAAGAGATTCTGTGGTTCAGCATGTTACCCTTCCTGGGTCTCCCTCCTGTATCATGCTCAGCCTCTGAGAATTTCCTTGTGATTGAGGTGGCATACAAGCTGCAGCCATAGTTGTTATAGGTGGCACAGCAGAAAACTAGACCTGGGTCATTCCTCCAGAAAGCTCTCCACTAGTTCATAGTTTGTTTTGACTTAGCTTGATGTGTGAACCTATTTTGATTTATCATTCCATATGAACCAGACCAGTGTAATCCTTACAGCAAACCATGTTTTAGTGGAATGTGGGAATTCAGTCATTGGCGATCAGGAAAGAAAAAAGTGGGAAAATATTAGAATGTTGGAATAAATGGTAAAGTGAGACTTTTTGGACTAATCAGAATAATTGGGCAAAATAGTTTCTACTGCTTCCTCCCTCCCTCCCCCCCCCTCTCTCTGCAAGATCATCATACTGAACAGTTTTCCCACTATTTGCAGTGAGGATGTTACTTTAGCTCAACGATTGTGAGGAGGAGAAGGAGGAGAAGGACTGGTTGCCCAGAAACCTGTTGTTGGAAACAGCCAAGTTCCTGTGACCCACTTTGATCTGAAAGAGGGATTGGAGGACATTGTTGAAGGACATCTTTGAGGTGGAGGAAACGGCCATTCCAGCCTCTCCTCCTTGCTGGGACCCGCCCTGCTTTTCTTCGTTAGGTTCTAGTCTTTCCAGTTGAATGACCTTAATTTGGGAGAAAGGAATTCTGGCTTGGCTCTCAGGGAGGGATTATTAAGGATATTTGCAACCCCCCCTCCCCCCACTGGATTTGAGAATGCAAAAACCAAGCGCTGTGGGCTTGGGGCCTCTTTGCTGCCCTTTGGGGTCCTGGTAGAGGGCTAAATACTGTGAAGCCCCCTTTTCCACCTTGTGCCCTCAAGAGATGTTGGGATTGGCCTTTGAAGTCCAGGCTTGAAAGGTGCAGCAGCACCACTTAAGAACGGAGAGCAGAATTTGGACTCTTTCCTCCCTTTGTAGGACTGAGAGCTGGATCCTTCCCCTCAACTCTGCTTTCAGAGATACCTGTTGTGCCTCCTTAGAATCCAGAAGGCTCTTCCTTAGATTGGAAGGTATCTTAGAGTTCTTCTAGTCCATCCCATGCGGTAGGCAGGAATTCCAAGATTATCCCAGGTAAATGGTTGTCCAACCTTTGCTTGAAACTCCCCCAGGTGGAGCCTTCCCAGTGAGCCCAAAAGCCAGAGGAATGTTGCTAGGTGGACAAGACTCTGGGTCTCTTCTTCAAAGACACCCCTGTGCCTGCTGTTCCCCTCCTTGTAGAGTTGGGTCTGTTCCTTTCTTTGGGGCTGCCTGTATTTCTATTCAGATGTTCTTGGCTTGCTCTGGGAGAGGGAGGAGGGTTTCCAGAGCTGCTGTTTAATGAGGTCTTTGATATCCTCTTCCCATTTAATGGAATATTTCATGGATTTAATGGATAGGCCATACCCCAAAGCAGTGAGGCTTAGTTGTCCCGTTAAAGCTAGTTGCTCCTGTAAGGGATTACAATTCTGGTAGTTGCATTGACTTTTAGCATGGCAGCTGGGAGGAAGAGGAGGAGGGAGAGGGTCCCACTGGAAGGAAGAGTTGGGACCATGTAAATAACATTCTTTGGAAGAATGGAACTTTGTTCCAGCTTTGCTTTTGGAGATTCTTTGGGTGCTTTTGCAGTTTTCAACCTTTGACATAATTTATCTTCTGCTTGATATGGAATAGGGGAAGGGGCTTTAGGTGGCATCCTAAGACCTTTGGGCCTCCAGCCTATCATTGTAGTCCTACTGGCTTAAAGCCTGTCAACTTAATCTTTTAAATGATACATGAGAAGCCTGGCTGCTTGCACAGACATTGGTTGTGGAGCAATGTGGAGCCATGAAGACACTTGAGCTTCAGACCGGAAGAAACTTGCGATATTATTCTCAGGATGAAGAAGACTGTCCTTTCCATTCCTGTCCTTTCTAGGCAGCACAAGCCTTCTAAGAGTCACACAGAATTGCTAGTGAATGTTGCTGTGCCAGTTGCTCAAGCTCTGGTTTCTTACTGATCATAGGTCACACACCACATTAAGTCACAATGTGGTTTCTTTGGTTTGAGGTTACTGTATTGTGGTAACCTGGATATTGATGCTGCTATTGCTTGTAAATCAAGGTTGAAGGCTTAACATGTTGCAAAACAGGTTGTAGCTTTGTAATACATTTGTTAATACAAACCACAAGTTCACATGCTGTGTATATACAACCCCTGCATTGTGGTTACTGCGGGTGGGAGCTGGGTGGGTGGGTGGCCTTGCGGGGTAACCAGATGGTGCTCGACCCCTTTCAATGTATGAGTCTTAATCTCCTGCTTGGTTGCCAGGGGAATCAAAGCATTTTTTTGTAAGCATAAAAAGTGCCCACTGAGTTCTCGCCACACAGCCGCACCATCAATTCTAGCCCAAAGTCGTGTCTGACAACGAACAAGGGAAGGGACAGAAGATTAGGAGTAAGAGGCACATGGGGCAAAAAAGCTCCTTGCAATAAAGAGTTCTTGCTCATTTTGGGGGGGGTTTGCATTTGATTGGGGTCATGCCCAGGAATGCCATCTGTATGATATTTTGTGCTGGATTTAAAGAGGAGCAAACCTCAGTCCCATTTTCCTTTCTCAGTCAGCTCAGAGCAGGTTTCTCAACCTTGCTGGCTGGGGAACGGGGACACAAGTGCCGGTTCAGGGAGTCCTGCGTCGGCTGGGCTGTTTTGACAGAAGGCCCACTTTCTTTTGAGAAGCTTCGGCCTCAGCACTTCCTAAGAGCTTTGCCATCTCTCTGCTAGACTTGTTTTGGCAAGCAGTGAGTCTAGTTTGTGTGGGTTATTACTTCTGCTTGGGCTGTTTTGTGCCTGTGAGATGCTGGTGAGGCAATGCTGGGTATCCCCACACCCAGTCCTTAAGCGCTCTTTCCACAGGTCCCCACAGCCCCAGTCTCCCAGGTATGAGGCCAAAGGCTTTGCACAGGTGTGGTGATTTCATGTCAAATTCCCACTGAAATTCTCTTTCCTGTTCCATGGCTGGCAGATAGAAACAGAACTGAAATTCTGATTATTCCTTAAAAACAATCAGGAAAACAAGATTATCTTGAAAATCCAGACATTTTAAACGTTGGCTGATGATGATAGCAAAGGAAAAGAGATGCATCATACAGCTGCTGATCTGGTTAGATAGTTTCAGACTTGCTTTTCCAGATGACGAACCTGCATCTTTGCCTCACCTTTAAAAGAAAAGAAAAAAATCAGCTTCAGTGGTTTCATAAACTCAGAACGGAATCGAGCGAGCTGGGTGCTAAATAATTTTACATCTGCAAGATGAATTCCAGCAAATTGATTTCAGGATTGTAAAATTTCAGCTGAACTTCTGGATATATCTCATTTAAAAAAAAAAATCCACGGTTTTATCAGAGAGCGTTAGAGGTTCTGTTGTTATTTTCCTGGGGCTCTGTGAAAATAAGGGTACCCGTAACTCCTGAGTAGATTCACAGTGGGGCCTGTAGCTGCCCTCGCAGGGGAAGAAATTTTGCTGACAATCCCACAGATGTTATTGGAAATAATTGGGGGTGGGGAATGGGAGTGGGGCTTGTGAATGTACAGAATCCCTGTAGCAAACAGGTCCTCAGCACAGCTCCTGACTTTCAGGCAAGCAAGAACAGATGGCCAGGGTCACAGCTGACAATCATTTTGAAGAATCCAGGTGTGGGGGCTGCAAATAGTATCAAAAAATTCAAAATNCAAAAGGAACAGGAAGTGCCTCACAGGAGCAGATAGAGGTATATCCTAGACAGGCAGGAAATGCATCACTGAACAGTGGAGATGAATACTAGAGATGAATAAAGTCAGGCATAACACCTATAACAGTGTAGGCATCCACTGGTGGCAAGGAGAGCGAGCAGGGCAGGTCACATGTGCATTGTATTATGGGTGTGGGGATGCGCGTGTGGGCATACACTTTCGGCAGACGAGTACAAAAGGGTTAGCCATCACTGTCATAGGTGTTTCTTGGAAGAGTTCAGGAATATGTGAGTCCTATAAGTGTATCTTTCTGATTTTGACATGGCCATTGTACTTTATCATGTAGCATGTTTTCACAACAATCTCCACCACACTTTGGGCAGCAAGCAAATACCAGCATATACAATAACAACATGAGCATCAATGTGTCCATGGTGGCCAACAGTGCTGGGTTGAACAACATGAACCAGATGACAGGGCAGATCAGCATGACCTCTGCAACCTCTGTGCCTACATCAGGGTTGCCCTCCATGGGTCCCGAGCAGGTGAGAATCTCAGCCTGGCATACTTAGACATAGATTTACTTTTAACATCAAAATATTTTGCTAATGTTGTACTATAAATCATACTAGTTATATTAAAAGTATGAACTTCAGGAATTGCTCATTCTTCTAATAGATGTGCAGTATAGTAGATTTTCCAAATATTTACCACTCCATCGAAGTCACAGGTGGGCAACTGCAATGCAAGCCCAAAGGGTCATTTCTGGGAAGAGCTGCTTGTTCTTTTCCTGACAGACTTCTGCTTGGGAATTAGAAAATATGATGTCAGAAAGAAAAAAGAGTGGGTGACAAGCAGGGAAGAGAAAGTGACATGTAACCCCTTTCTCCACTGAGATGCAAAATCCATACATTGCCCATACTGAATGAGATTTTAGAGCATTATACTCACAAAACATTATGTGTTTTGTCACATAACACTTATGTGACCTGGGCCAGTTGGTTTTTAGTAGAAAAATTGGGATTTGAATCAACCTCCTTCCATCCCTCAGTAGTTAAAAGTATTACACAATCTACTTTTGGCTCTATTTTTTGACTAAATCCAATTGCCATCTTAAACTACCTTTAATGTCTTTCTCTGTTTATAAATTCTAGTTAAATTAATGATTGTTCAATTTTATTAATGATGTTTCTATGTTGGTCTATTCTAAAAGGTCAAGTGTTCATGGTAATTCCAGTATGATCTCTTTAATTTATTTAATATGTGTGTTCTAGCCATGCTTTTAGTGTGCTGCAAGCATATTTATTTATTTAATAATTTATTTAATTGTTTGTTTATTTATTTAATGTATTTATTGGATTTACATGACCACCTATTCGCTCTCAGTGATTATGGGCAGCCTACAAACAATAAAAAATCCAATATAAAAAGGGATAAACAATAAAACAATAATTTCCCATCCCCTTGGTGACAAACAATCAATGAGCCATTTTCCAGACCCATTGGCAAAACCTGATCCAGCCGAGGCACAAGGGGATAATCTGATGGACCATCGCTGGGTTGAGTTTCAGGATGTTGCCCCTGGGGANATGAGTGCAATGATGCAGTAGTTTGAACATTCTTTGGCATTGCCCTTCTTTGGAATTGGAATGTAAACTGATCTTTTCTAATCCTGTGGCCACTGTTGAGTTTTCCAAAATTGCTGGTAAATTGAGTGTAGCACTTTTACTGCATCATCTTTTACGATTTTGAATAGCTCAGCTGGAATACTGTCACCTCCACTAGCTTTGTTGTTGCTCAAATTTTCTAAGGCCCATTTGACTTCACATTCTAGGATGTCTGGCTCGAGGTCAGTGACCACCTCATCGTGGTTATCAGGGACATTAGTTAAGCTCGTTCTTGTGTAGTTCTTCTGTGTAATTTTGCCATCTCTTCTTAATCTCTTCTGCCTCTATTAGGTCCCTGCCATTTTGGTCCTTTATCATGCCCACCTTTGCATGAAACGTTCCCTTCATATCTCCAATTTTCTTGCAGAGATCTCTGGTCCTCCCTATTCTATTGTTTTCTTCTATTTCTTTGCACTGTTCATTTCAGAAGGCATTCTTATCTCTTCCAGCTATTCTTTGGAATTCTGCATTCCCTTACCTTTCGCTTCCCTTCTTTCCTCACTATTTGTAAAGCTTCCCAAGACAGCCATTTTGCTTTCTTGCATTTCTTTTTCTTCAGGATGGTTTTAGTTGCTACCTCTTGTACAATGTTGCGAACCACTGTCCATAGTTCTTCAGGCACTCTGTCTATCAGATCTAATTCTACATCGTGGTGACCAAACTGATTCCTTAAATCTATGTGTCACCTCTACTGTATATTCATCAGGGAGATGATTTAGTTCATACATGAGTAGCCTAGTGCTTTTCTCTACTTTCTTCAATTTAAGCCTAAATTTTGCAACAAGAAGCTCATGATCTGAACCACAGTCAGCTCCTGGTCTTGTTTTTACTGACTGTATAGAGTTTCTTTGGTTGCAGAGCACATAGTCAATCTGATGTCTGTATTGACCGTTGGGTGGTGTCCATGTGTAGAGACGTCTCTTGGGTTGTTGGAAAAGAGTGTTTGCTATGACCATCATATTCTCTTGACAAAATTCTATCAGCCCGAGCCATGCTTCATTTTGTACTCCAAGGCCAAACTGGCCTGTTATTCCAGTTATCTTTTGGCTTCCTACTTTAGCATTCCAATCCCCCATGATGATAAGAAGATCATTTTTTTTGGTTGTTAATACTATAAGGTGCTGTAGGGCTTCATAAAACCGGTCAATTTCATCTTCTTCAGCACCAGTGGTTGGGGCATAAACCTAGACAGGCGACGACGAACATTTTTTGGCTCGTGTGCCATAAGTGGGAGGAGCACAGCGGGGGTGGTGTGTGGGTGTGCTGCATCTATAATGCAATGTGTGACACCACCACCCCAGTGCATATGTGTGCACTACAGGCATTCCCCCCCCCCATTTTTTGCATGCTTTTTTCACCCTACCCAGGCTCTAGAGGCTTTATAGGAGCCTGGGGAGGGCAAAAACAGCCTCCCCTGCTTCCCCGGAGGCCCTCCGGAGGCTTCAGGGACCTTCAGAAGGCTTCCCTAAAGCCTCTGGTGCACTTAAAATGACCCTCCGAGCAAACCGGAAGTCCATTCCCAAACTTCCGGTTTGCCCATAGGGCTGGTTTTTCGCGCTCCGGAGGCTTCAAGGAAGCTCCTGAAGCCTCCGTAGGGCCTCCGGGGAAGCAGGGGAGGCTGTTTTTGCCCTCCCCAGGCTCCTATAAAGCCTCTGGAGCCTGGGGAGGGCAAAAACAGCCTCCC